CTCAAATTAAATATGGGTCACGTTTGTGTGAAGAATGTTGATATGAGATATAAAACATAACGCATTGTCTGTTAACAGACAATTTGTTAACGGTTCATTTGTATTTGTAAATCTGACTGTAAAAGAGTCAGTGCCTCACCAGCTGTCAACCTCACCGCACGTCACTGATGCTCATGTGCCACACTGTACTGGGTGCACATTCACTTGTGCATTGGGAGCACTTGGTGTACAAACAGCACACAGAGCAGCCTACAGAAACACAATGGAGAAGGGAAACTATGTCCAAATCTCCAACAAATAGAACACAATGAGGGAATTTCAGCAGGTCAGACTTTATAAAAATTGGAAACCAGAACTGGCCCAGAAAATTGCAAGCGGTGCATCTCTACTTTTTAAAGGTATAGGTAGTGTTCCTGGAAAAACCAGCCAGAGGAAGCTCAATTTTGAAAGTAAACAACTGAAGATATCCCACCCTTTCATTCTGACTTGTCTCCAAAGCCACTCCTCCAAAACACAATGTGCACTGTCTGACTACTAACAGATTTCAGGAAATTAACAAATGCCTCATCAAACAAAACCAAACTGATAATTACCTGTCCAGAAGAAATGCGCCCCCCATGGCAGCACTTTTCAGCCCCTTTTGTTCTCTTAGGTGTCGCTGTTGTTCAAAAGCCACACCACTGTAGCTTGTAGCTAGTAACTGGTCTTGGAAGTCTGGGCTTTTCCAATGACAAGTGAAGAGGAAGGCTAACTAACTCCGCTCAAAACACAGGCTTTATTCTGTGTTGCTAACACAAACATTGCATGTAGCCTTGATGCCCAGTTAACTGTATTACAATCCTATCTATACACTTAGAGCTGACTACTGTTGGTATTTTCTCCACCCGTGGCTGCATGTAAAAGGAGCCAGTAGTCTTCTTGCTCTCACACTGCATGCAGGTAGGGTAACGACGACAACAACAGCAACATTTCCTGTAAGGCAATATGTCTTTAAAGTGGAAGGCCTGGCCTGTAACAACAGCCTCCAATTGTGAACCAAAGCTGCTGTGGGGACCTTCTCTGCCATAGTTCGGTAGCTTCAGCTGTAAAACAGAGCAGTAACCCATGTGCCTGTAATCGCAATGCCTTGTGTCAGACTCTTGGCTCATGCATTGAGTGCACGTGCAAGTGTGCACAAGTAGAAAGTAGGATGGCAGGCAGCTAGGCCATCTGATGGATTTGCTTGGGATGAGTAAAATTATTGGTCAGCTTTCGCCGCCCCGCTGCCACAGATGATGGATTTTTTTTTTTTTTTTTCTTCATCGTTGGTGCTTTATTGTATTCGTTTGCCAGCAGGATGAAAAGAAGAAAATGATTCTGGAAGGAATCACCAAACTTACTTTTTAACCACAATAGCAAATGTGTGATAAAATGCAAAATGAATGGATTAATGAAACTTTTTATAATTTTATGTAAATAAAACTATAAATGTAATAATTACAGCTTATATGAAGATTAAATTGGGAGACATGCGCTATACTAGAGTTACAAAAACTGAGCATCTAAACTTTCTGCCTTATTTTTTTTTTTTTTTTCCCTCTCAACAGAAAGAGTGGAGGGAGGACAGACATGGAGCATTCAAAAGGAAAGTTGCCCGTTGTGTACGAAAAAGCCAAGAGACTGCGTTTGAGTGATGTTTAGCAAGGATCTAGCTTCTTCTTTTCAGGGCAAGTGTTTCTGACTTAAACTCTTTTAAAACAGTTAGTTCACAATTCACCATCAACTTCTGTTATGCAAAAATGTCTGCCTGTTGCACCAGGTGCCAGTTTCACAATAATAGACTTTTACTATGGCTCAGATCTAAGGTGTTTTCAGACTTTAATTGTTTAAATTTGTTTGTTCCACAGAGTCGTTTAGTTCTTGACTATCTTGAGTGGGAGTAATTTGCTATGAATTCTGGGTAAATTCACTTTTTTTTTTTAAATTAAAAACCTTGGTTGAACTTGGAGCTGCATCAAACCACTCAGCTCCCTTCACAACAGAAAATGTCTCATCTGGGTGTAACAGTTACAAGAATATACAATGTAACAATACAACAAGGACCTGTAAAACGCGTTACCTTCTCACTGCTTACTCCACAGTATTATCAAATTATAAGTTATCTTTTTACCCCTTTTTATCAGGTAGTGTACTCCTACAAGTCTCACTGGTTGTCATTGTGAACACAGCTCTAAATCAGGCTGGGCAGGGTGAACATCTTTTTAGGCTTAAAATAAAAATGGTCTTTATTTCTGTGAAACTCTTGCATTACATTCATCTAAAGCCCCCTTTACACTGCCCATCTGATGCCATAGTTTTCACTCACCGTTCTGTATAAAAGGTACAGTATAGGCATGGAGGGGGTTGATGTTGACCCTCCAAAATACCACGATGAGAGGTAGTATTTTTGTCCGCAAAAGAGTGAATCAGAGAATTTAAAATGTATTATGTAATTGTTTACTGTGCTTACATTCTAAAGCATAAATAAACACAGCCATGCCTCTGCACAAATCTGTGGGAAGGATTTTATGTGAATTCATCCAAAACGTACATTTCCATCTATTCTATCATGTGTACCTTTTTTGTATAACCCCGCCCTGAAACGCACAGACCTGAAATTGAATGCATATAGTAGACTGCTGTAATTTCTTAATTTCCATTTATAAATGTATCAGATAATAGCCTGTTTGTTTTGTTTTCAAATTGGTCACAAAGGACACAGCCCATTAGGTGTCATGATAAGCATTGTGCCCGTAGTATTGAGGTTCCGGCAGCTGTGTAAAACGAACACAGCAGTGGCAGTTTGCTAGCTTTTTTAAGTTCAGTGCAAAAAGGCTTAAATCAAAAAAGCCACCTTGAAGGGGGTCAAAATACCAGTAGTTCTTTGCAATCTCTGTGTAAACGGGCCTTAAGAACAAAATTTTGAATTGTCCAGCTCTATGAACCTGCCTAAAATGACTTTGTGGAACTGGTTCAAATGTAAACTACACCCAGTTTATTAGGTACACCCTAGATAAAACCAGTTGTGTAACCCAACAGTCCTGCAATGAATTCTGATAATATTCTGATAATATTCAGTTTTAATAGTAACAAGTAAATGATACACTAACTCTGAATTGCAGACACATGTACTTTTTGTGATCTCTTTTGTTGCTCATTATTTGCACCAGTTGTTTTTTATGAGTTGTTGTTGTTTTTGCTGCTTCCTGACAATTTTTTCTGGTATTTGTTGTATGCCTTCCCACAGGTCTCCAACTGAAAATCAACATGGCACTATTTCCTGCACTCTTCCCCCCTCCTGCCAGTCTTGACCTCTTTTATTTGGCAGGAACAGACTGGTTACTGTAGAACACAAAAGTGACTACCCAGGCTGACAAAAAAACCACAGAGCAAGTGCCAACTCAAAGAAGAAAAAAAAAACAACCCAGAAGATAAAACATTTTCAAGTCTATGAACTGCTTCAACATTCAGGAAGATATTGTAAAGACATGTATATAGCACAGACTAAACCGGATAATATATAAACTCCCTTTCCATCCATCATGACACTTAGACCAAATGAATAGTACTGGTCAGATATTTTTTTCCAATTTTCCTTCTCAACTTCAGCATGTATTAGTTTTCTTTAGATTGTTTAATTAGGAGGTCTTGAATAGAAAAACTACGATGCTGTTGGAGGAATGTCATCAGAGAAGAGCTTGATTGATTCAAGCAAGACACGAATGACTGACAGGGTTTTTGAGAAATGCTGCCATATTAGAATACACAGCTGTTCTCAGAACTTAACATTGTACCTGAGCGTTTTTTTTTTGTTTGTTTTTTATAGCTAGGTTTTACCATCCTTCTCAGTTGATTTGAGAAAGGCAACATACCCCTTATTTTTTTGTGCATGCTAAATTTGGTTTTTTCAAAAGTGCCTCCTAATAAAATGCTTAGCCACTTCTCCCTGCATTTAACAAGTTTTAAAATGATGAAAAAAGATGGAGAACTTGTATACCACTTATGTATTAATTTATTAAGTAGTGGGTACACCAGGAATCTGTATTATTAGGTTACTGGTAGCAATAACTACTCTGAAATGATACAATTTGAGATCCTCATCCCCGGTATTTTGTTATTTTAGCAACCTCTCTTTTCCTTGTCTGTGTCCTTGGTAGGAATTATGCATGCTTTATGTTTTGGGGGGGGTTAGCTGAACATTTCTGGCATTTTGTTTGCAAATGTTTGTTTGTTTATACAGTATGTGCGCTGATTTAGTTTTGTCACTCTGCCTTGATCCACATTCTCATGATTATTCTGGACATTGAACTATTGCAATTTTCCCTAATGTACAAAGACAAAATACTGATGTATATTTTTCATGTTATGAAACCTGTCACCTGTAGTGAGTTCTTCTGAAATATGACTCTTTTTCAATATTTACGTGTTTATTTAATTCACTGTGTTTACACACTACCCATGAAAAAAAGATAACAGAAATCTTGCATGAACACAGTCTTTTCGTCACACAACATATAGAATGGCATTATGTTTTGGGTTATTTTCCAGTGTTTCAGTAGGTCCACTACAAATTACAGGTATTTAGACAGTTAAGAATAATTCCTGAGTTGAAACTTGAATCATCTGGGATCTCAGTGAGGTTACTCTTAAAATGATATATTTTGGTATAATGTACTTTGCATAGTTTATTATGGTTTAAGGGGACTGTGTTGACAATGTGTTGCTGCCTATCTTCCACATCTTTTCTAAATTCTGCAAGTCAGTTTTCATCAAGTTTTTACTTCTTTTTGGGTTAGTCACTAAACAAACCTACTGTGGTTGACAGGCCACATTGCCAAGTATTTGGGTTGTCAGTGCTACTGTAACATTTTGGCAAGTTAATCGTATACAAAATTTACATTAAGTTGTGGTTCACAGATGCGCAGTTTTGGAAGCATAATGTTTTTCCTGTTCAATCTGGTTTCTCTGTAAGTGCATAACTATCAATTGGGAATGATTTTATTACCACGCAAACAGAAGCTCGTGATTTTCTTGTGTTGCCATTTAACCTCATGTGCATAATATTTAGTGCTCCAAAATAAAACTAATGCAAGGTGAGCCTCAGCCATTATATGACGTAGCATAAAATGGGCTGTCTGAACATTACAGTAAGACCACCAGACAGCACTTTGATATCTGCTATCTGATTTGGGATACAGAATTTTCTTCCTAGGTGAAAAGTGTATCACTAGAGAATACAGTAGGTATCCATATATACAGGCTAAGGGTGTGACAGTACATGATACTGGGTTCATGAGAATGAGATGAGAATTATTTTAACACAGTTTTTAATCAATCTTTGGTGACAAAATATATGACTGAAAGTCACAAAATGCAAAACCATGCCAGTGCCCTTTGAAATGTTATAACTAATCATCTTGTAATTAATTTCACTTCATTTCTACTTTAGGAGGATGAATTATCATATGCAGTAAAAGACAACAATATGCAGCACTGTCAAAGGTTTTGCCACAAACTCAACTGGCTGGCTTCTCTCCTGTATGATTTCACAGGAGTCTCTTCAGACCTTATAACTGTACATGAACTATGCAGGAGCTTCTAACTTCTAACTGAATATGTGTGTGACTTTCTATGCTATTTTCACCTTCACTGTGCCATACCGCGGGATGGTGCGGCAAAGATGCTGCAATGACCAATCATGTAAAGGGGGATCGATCTGGGAATGTGTATGCCCACGGGAAGAAGACTCTTTTGTTCGCCATGTTAGCATGAACATTCACTGCTATTTACTGTCAAATTTAAGCTCCAATGTGCCATAACGACACACTTGCGGTAGAAATGGAGCTGAGGTAGAGTAGGCTATGTTATCAGCATGGCTAATCAGAACACAACAGAAACTCACGGGGCTGGAAATGTGAATGAAGCCACTCACCTCACTTGTCACACCTACAACATTTCTCCCTTCACCCCCTGACCAACGCAGCCGTAGTCTGGATGTTTTGTTATAGAGCTGTTACATTTGCAAACATCCGATTCTAATGAACGGTGCTTGGATAGAAAAGAAGGGATCCAAATCTTCCCTGAAAGCTGCTCTTTTAAAAGTTGTAAATAAATTTCAATGCCTGCCATACATCCACAACTGATTTCTGACAGCGGACGAACCAAGGGTGACTGAACAGAAAGAGTGGTGCCAGCAAGAACACAAAAAGCTGTGAATCAGAGAAATAAAATTTTAGCTTCAAATTTTTTCATTTATGTTCTAAGTACAAATAAACAGGGCTACACCTCTGCACCACCAGCACCCGTGCTGAGATGTGGTGACTGTGCATGGCATGATTCCCATTATTTTCATACTCATCAAACCATTCAGTGACCTCCTTGCTGAAATACAGTTTTTTTTTTTCTTGTAACATTTTAACTAATAATAATAATGTGATTCCAGGTGCTAGGGATAGGTTTTCATGGTCAAGGAATCATATTACGAGGGTCAGGCTATCATGGGAGTAATGTTTTAGGTGTAATGAGATGCCTTTGCAGAGGTTTGTGCTCCCTGAGTGCGGTCTAGTTGTTATTATTACATTATGAATGGGGGACTTGAATTGACTATTTACTATGGTGTCAGTTTGGCCAGTGTCTACTATACACTGGCACATAAGCATGAGTTTGCGTCTCAGAAGTAGGAGTTTACTAGGAGCACCTGAAGGCAACATCATTTTGACAGCTGTTTGTTAATTCAGAAATAGCCAACATCCCATACATACTGCCTTAGGTCTTTCAACTCCCATCAGTGAGGTCAACCCTCCATAATCCCAAACTCAAAAATTAAATTATAAGAAACTATGAGCTGCTACTTAGGACGTCTGTTTATGTAGGCGTCAAAAGAAGCACCTCGAGTTAGCGCCTTATACCTTTTAAATGATCATCAACTTCAAGGTTGCTATGAATTAAACTAATGGTATACAGTTATACTCGATTATGTAGTTAATTCAGTGCTATATGATAAACTGTGGTTAACGTGTTTTTGAGAGAAGTTCATGAAGGCAACATCACCGCCCACTATCTATTTTTTCGTCATATCGCGATAGAGACCACCAGGCTACGGAGGTAACGCTGAGCAACATGGCGGAAGGTATGAGCTTTTTATTTATTTATTTATTTTTTATACTGTTTGGTAAACTCCCTTTTGTACTTGCACGCTTATGGAACTGTGGAGTTGAATCACATAAAGTTCTGGCAGTGTAGTAAATCATGCATTGTGTGTGGTTAAAATACGAAGCATTGCGACATCCTTATTCTTGTCATACTCAGTTTGCCACTGAGCAAGCTCTGACGTTAGCTCTTGATGATGTTGCTAGCAGAATTTTATAGCTAACGTTACGAGTTAGCCGAACCGGGCAAGAGATGTTGGTGGGTTGGGCTGAGAGAGAAACTGCTGGTTTGCTACGAAAGAAAAAAATTGCATGTGAAGTTACAGAATTCCCTGTTAATGTTGGTATTCCTGTTTAGCTTTGTGTCAACGTAATGCATAGCATCAGGCAGTCTACATTATCTAACTATAATGTAACATTAGTAACAATTACTTAGCTAACGCTCTGCTAATGCTCACCGTTTGGTTCACGAAGAGTTTTTCAACATTTTATGTGAGCTTCGTTAAAGAGTTAATACGGGGCAGGAGACCGTACAAGAAAGGGTAGGGGTAGGTACACTCCCTGTTAGGTGTCATTTGCAACACCTGGCAGAAGTGCCATGGCCAAGTGCATCATCTATATTTGGCTTAGAAGGGAATGTCAGCTTTTGGTTCGTCCTTAAGGGAAATGTGCTTACCAACTAGAATCCAGCGAGTGTGTAACGGGGATCAAAAAGCATACTGTGTCGACATGTTCACACAGATGAAAAAGTTGCATGTAAAAAAGGAGGTGCATGCTTTTGTCTTTAAAAATGACCCTTGAAATGCTCGTATTCTGTTGTCAATGGCACAATTTGATTGGATTTTCATTGCGTACTGTATTTATGAACATATAGTAAAGCAATGAGACTAGATCATGTTCACAATTCCTGACAAAATGGAATACATTTCCTTTAATGGTTTTGTTCAAAGTGTATTATTCTTAAATATCGAGGGGTTTTCATATATGTGGTTGATGTGGGAGGAATAGTCCAAACCTTGAGATAAATGTTTGTTTTCCAAATTCATTTGTCATACCTACTAAATCCTGCAAAATGATGGTGGAGTTTAATAGATTATAACAGTTTGTCCAGTGGCTGGGCAGTTAGTTGGTCCTGAGCTGCTGCTCCAGCATACCACCCTTCCCGTGTTGGGCTTGATCATGTGCTTTTTAGAAACACCCCCTTTCTGTTCCTCATGACTAGTAGATGTGTCAGTAACGGTTTACAAGGGAGGACAAAGTAACGTGCTACCTCAGCATTCTTTCTTCACTAAAACATTACTGGTTTAAAGGAAGGAAATGGGCTTCAGTGAAACTCTGTGAACTTAAATCACTGTTGCAAGATCTATCATAGGTGTATTTTACTTAAAATCAACAGGGAAAGGTTTGTCCAAAGATTATGCCATAGTCTGTTTTTAAGATTCGGAACTTTTGTTGTTGCACTGAAAAAGCTGAAATTCTACTGTGTTTGTGCAACTTAGGTCACATATGAATGTGTTTTTAACAAGAAATATGACAGTGATATAACAATTAATATTTCAGTCACAGTTTTCACATCATTACTTCTGTTTGTGCAAGTTCAGCTCACAACCTTTATTGTATGTTTCCTCCCTGTCTTATTGTCACTGTCATAAGAGCTATCTTTAAATAATAGAGAAAACTAATCCTAAACAATAGCTTCTGTATTTTGGAAGAACTATACCTTTGAATACTTCTTTTACTTTAATGTGAAAAGTGCTGGAAGAGTCCAGTTCTAACCTGTGTTCAGTAATAGGTCTTTCTAACCTACTTTTTGTATCCTTGCATTTTGTTTTTGTCCTCTGTTTCCTTTACCTTGATGTGGGACAGAGGAGGTGGCCAAGTTGCAGAAGCACTTGTCCCTGCTCAGGCAGGAGTATGTGAAGATGCAGCAGAAGCTGGCAGATACAGAAAGACGCTGTGCTGTGCTTGCTGCTCAGGCCTCTGGGCAGGGCTCCTCCAGCCCTGCAGCTGCAGACACCTTCATCAGTCGCCTGCTGGACATTGTGGCTGGCCCCTATCCGCACGGAC